AAAGTTCTGGCGATTTGCTTTGGAAAGTTCCCCTCCTGCCAGGGCTGTGGGGCTGCAGAGTCCCAGCAGGGTCGGTGAGTGAGTGCAGGACCCCTAAGAACTAGTCTAGAACACGTTAGCTGGAAGGACCTTGGGCCCCTACACCCAACCCAGACTCAGAGGAAGGAAAGACATGACCCTGGGGTCCACAGGATGGGGAGTCAGGCCCGGTCACCTGGGCTTCTGATGGCCCTGCAGTAATGTCACCACAGCTCAGCTGCTGCCCCTCCCAATCTGCTCCCTAACTCACACAGGTACCTTCTAGCAGCACTGGCCACAGGGCCCAGCAGACCCTTGCCCTAGACTCATGACCCCATTCCCTGTCCCCTTGCCCAGGAGTCAGCCTGGACAGAGACTGAGGTGTCATGGGCAGTTCAGGGACAGAAGGCAGGGCCCTAGCCAGGGGCAAGGGCATTAGGTGGAACTGGCTGGGCCAGCTCTTGCCCTCCCCACCTGTCTCCCATATACCTGTTGCTCACTGAGAGCTTCCAGCAGTCAGCCAATCACCTGGGCCACAGTCAACAAGGACCAGAGGCCACAGGTCCAGGTGGGTGGAGCCTGCCTGTGATGGCTTTGAGAGTCAGCCCAACTGGCCTGCGGCCTCTCCTAAATGAATAAGGATCACAGCTCTGGCCACCAAGAAAGAATTCTTGCTCAGCTCGGAGCCCCATGGGTGGCTGGGTGGCTCAGCCTCCCCTGCCTTCCCTGGGAACCTGGAAGTTGAGCCCCGTGTTCCTGGGTCCAGAACTTTTTGTCCATTGTGTCTAGACTGGCACTCTCCTGGCTCAGGCTCCTAACTCAGGGCTGGGGAGCAGAGCAGCGCCACAGCAGGCGCCTATCTCCGAGTCAGACATGATGGGTCTTCAGGTGCACCTGCCTGAGAGAGCCTAGATCTCCTCTCTGACCTGCAGGAGACCCAAACATGAGCCCCCAAAGCTCAGGGACAGTGAGCACCTCAGGAGACCTCCCCTGCTACCAGGGGGCCTGAGGTTTAGCACAGTGGGTAGGACTGCCCACCTGGCCATGGGGGCTCCTATCTGGGGGCCCAGCAAGGACAAAGACTGGGTTGTGAATCATCCCTCACCTCTAGACCCCCCACTGTCTAGGAGGAAGGCAAAGACATGTCACCAATGGGGTGGGGGACATCCCCTAGCAAGGGACACCCTCGCCCAAGTGCTGGGCCCCTCTGCCCCCCCACCCAAACAATTCACCTGGATAGAAGACTGAGATGGGTGAAGGACTAGTGTTGTAGGATCCACATCTCCCTCATCCCCCTCAGGGCAGGGGGGCCCTTCATCAAGTATCTGCACACTGGGCATCCTAGAAAGGGGGTTGGTGGGAAGCCTGTGGAACCTGGCCCTGCCAAGAGCTGGGAACAAGAAGGAAGTAAGGGTTGGTGGGGCAAACGCAGAGCAAGGAGGCCAGGAGGATCTGTACCCAGCACCTGCCTTGGCCTCAGGCTGGACCCATTTACAGATGAGAAAACTGAGGCCCAGAGAGAAGAAGGGGAAGAAGGAAGGCTGAGGGTGCCTCAGGGAATGACCCAGGAAGGCTGGGGTGGAGATGCCAAGAGGTCCACACTCCTCTCCAGAACCCCAGGTGTATAGGGGCTGCAACCAAAGCTGTTCCCATGAGGCCAAGTCATTCCTCAAAGTGTGTGAGGGCCTGGAGCCTCTGGAGACAGTGGCTGATGTAGAAGTGCAGCTGGGAAAATAGTCCGCTACCTCCAAATAGGAATGACCCTAGGCTGGGGGACTTTTCAGGGACCCTCCACCACAGCTATTGCTGTTGAACCTCATCATCGGCATCACCAGGCTTCCCAGCTGACCCACACCAGTCGTCTCACTGGCTGGGGTCAGTCTTTGAAGGAAGGCCAGCTTCCAACGTTCCCAAGTTTGTGTTCTGGGTCCAGGCCACTGGCCTTTCCAGAGCCTCTTCCGGGAGCCTGGCCTTGAGACTCAAACAGGAAGACCCTCTGACATCTAGCCACGTGCTTCCCACACATGGGAAACACACACAAGTAGGGAACCAGGCCTCAGTTTCCCTACTTATAGCATCAGGGGAGGAGTGCCTGGGAGGCACTTGACTCCTAACCAAAAGGTCAGCAGTCCAAGTTCATCCAGAGGTGCCTCAGAAGAAACATCTGGTGATGTAAAAATTCAGCCATTGAAAACCCCATGGAGCACAGTTTTACTTTGACGTGCATGGGGTCACCATGAGTGGCAGTTCACTTGATGGAAACTGACTTGGCTGTTTTGGAGCATGGGGCCCTTTCAGGCCCAACATCTGAGTCTCTACCCTTCACAACATCCGGCCGTCTTGGCAATGGGCAGTGGTGGCATCACTAGCATGATAACTCATGGTGATGACGAGGAAGTCCTACCGTCCACTTCTGAAGCCACAGGCCACCCAGCTTCCAGGAAGCTGCCTGACCCTGGAACCTCAGGTACCACCATCCTCCACTCCACCAGACCTTTCTCCTCCTCCCCAAGCTGGGGCACCTTCCAAATAGGTGGATGGGGGATTTCAGTGACGCTTAAACAAGGCAATGGCGCCAGGGAGGTGACACGCAAGCTGAGCCAGAGGACAAGGAGGCAGACCAAGGGCAGTGGGTTCCAGGCCAAGGACGGGGCGTTCTTGCAGGAAGGCCTGGCTCAGGGTGTTGACTCCAGGGTCGGACGTGGGTGGGGTCTAGACGGCTTGGCTCTGGCTGAGCTGGTAGCCCTTGGGGGTCGTATGGAACCATGTCCCCTGGGTCAGGGACCGATGAGGGATGCTAGGCATACTATATTGATGAACCTCCCTGAACTGAGGTTAGCTATGTCACATGGGAGCAAGGGTTCAGACTGGGACCCCGTGCACCCAGGGCTGCCAGGAGGGTCGATGGCATAGGTATTCAGACAGCGTGGGCCATCCTGGGCACAGTTTGGCACACATAGCAGAGGTCAAGGTAGGCTGGCCTTCCCAGGAGACTCTTCCAGGAGGAGGGTGCTGTCTGCAAACCCCCATCCCAACACTCACCAGGACTAATGCCGAACACAGCACCAGGGTCCCTGACCCCATGTCAGCCCCTTCAAGGCCCTGCATCTGGCCAGTCCCCTTCTCTGAGAACCCCTGGGCACTGTCCCTCCAACCAGGGACCTAGCCCCACTTAACTCTGCAAAAACCAGACATTTTTCTGATGCTTGCTTTGGAGACTGAACTTCCTTTTTAAAAAAAAATTTTTTTAATTTAAATTGGTGTTAAATCCACATCAAAGAATTAACCAATGTTGTTGTTTTTTAAGTGGTTTGGGTGAAAGGTTACAGAGCATATCCGTTTCCCATTCAACAATGTATATACCTTTTGTTTTGTAACATTAGTTTCAATCCCTTTTCTGTAACAGCATTCTTCTGGATTCTTCCCTGGAATCATTTCTCTCCCTGCTTTCTGAGATCTGTTTTATAAAGCAGAATGAGCCATTTTCAAGTGCACAATTCACGTAGCATTTAGCATATGCACAATGTTGTGGAACCCCCAACTCTATCAACTTCCAGATGTTTTCATTGCCCCCAAAGGAGACCTACCACCCATCTACCACTACCACTCTGGCCCCCAGCTTGGGGCCAGGACTGTTAAAGGCTCCTGTCCACCTGTCTCTATCTCCCCCACCTGTTTCTGGGACCCCGGTGGCAGCTGCCTGGCAGTCAGGCCCAGGCAGGTAAGCACACCTGACCACCAGCAGGTTCCTGGGAGCCAGCTGCCTCTGAGCAATCAGCCAAGAGAGATAGAGTGTCCACACAGGGAGGGGCCTGGCTTCTGAAACTCCTCCTTCTGCTTGGCCCTTTCTCATAGGTCTAGCGGCCTGGTGGAGCTCAGGTGGGCCAGGTGGGCCAGGTGGGCCAGGTGGGCCAGGTGGGAGGTGGGGCCAACGCAGCCCCGCTCTGAGCCTGGTAGGAGCCCAAAAGAGAGTGGCTTTGCCCCACCCCTGAGGGGGGGGCGGCAGTGGTGGGCCACGTGGCCACATGAATGCCCAGCCAGGCTCCCTGGGAGGACGGGCCTCTGGAGGCCAAACCAGGGAGCTTCCTGCCTGCAGAGGTAGGCACTGAGTCCAGGACTGCCTGGAGGAGGAAGAAGGCCAGACAGGACTGAGAGTTCCGGAAAGGGGACAAGGTGAGAGCCCCAAGGACAGGTGTCTAAGCTACAGAGTTTGTGTGGGGCTGGCCATGGACAGGAAGCAGAGCTGGATTCCCGAGGGGTCTGTGGGTGCCAGCAGAGGCTGGACATGGGGGTGGGTTGCTTTCCCCACCATCTGCCCCATCCAGGCAGACAGGGCAAGAGGGCCTCCCCACTTCTCAGACCCGGCTCTTAGGCCACTCAAAAGTGGACTTTGCTTTCTTGGGTGCCACAAACAGCACTCAACAGCACACTGACAGGTTGGAAGTTTGAACCCACCTAGAGATGCCATGGCAGAAAAGCCAGGAGATTTCCTCTGAAAAGTCCCCAACCCAGAAAACCCTGTGGGGCAGTTATAGTTTGAACATATGGGTTACCGTGAGTCAGGAGTGAATGGACAGCAGCCAACTATAACTACCACAAACACTGGGCATCAAATGAGGACACTGAGCCCTAGGAAAGAGAGGAAAGGCCCTGGGCTTGGGCCTTGAATCTGGCGTTCCTGTGAGTGGAGACAACCCTACCCTACTGAGGGAGGAGTCAGGGCAAGGAGCTGGATGGATCAGACCCAAATGCCAACTGAGGGGGCCTGGAGATCATAACAGCCACCAGGGATGCCCAGGGCATGTGGAATGGAACCCCGGAAGCAGTGGGGCATCCTCCCTACCAGGCAGCAGCTTGGTCTGGTGAAGCCCATCTACCAGGCAATCCCTTTCCTCCTGCCCCTGGTATCTTCTCCCCCACTCCCTTGTTCCCTCCCCTCCCTGGCTGCTTCCTGCTATATCCTGTACCTTTGCCCTCTGCAGATGAGTAACGCCTCTGAGCTCCCAGGCACAGATGTCCCCCTGGCATCAGCAACCTGGCCACAGGTCAGCCTCTCACTGGCCACACCCACCATGCCCGGAGGGTCACAGACAGACCGTATGGGGAACAGCTCCCAGGAGACCCCCAAGCTCTTCCTTACCACCTCACTGGCCCGGGGCATCTCAGGCATCTTTGTCTGGGCTGCACTTCTACTAACCTGCCACCAGGTAAGCCTGCCCCACCCGTGGCCCTGCTACCTCAGGACCCTGCTCAACATGGGGCCTTCCTCAAGCCACTGCCCCAGTGGACACAGGAGAGGTGAAGCGGGATCAAAGGGACTATGTCTGGGGCACTCAGAGAAGGAGGCGGTGGTGGTGGGCTTGTTCCATACACAGTGTATGGGATTGAAGACTGAGAGGAGTCAAACTGATTCAGCCACCTCTCTCTACCAACCACAGTCTAAGTGTTTATACCCATTTCATTTATGAGAAGCCTGAGGTTCAGGGAAGTCAAGGTTGTCCCGAAGGCCTACATCCATAGCCAGCTCAAGAAAGGGCCTTATCTCTCCAGGGATACCACATTTCCATGAGTGCTGGTCAAGACCTGGATGTCACCCTGTGGGGGGTTGTGAGCCCCTCACCCAAGAGAGCAGGTAGCATGGCTCAGGTTGGCTTGAGGGGTTTCTTGTCCCCCTGGATCCCTTTATGAGCAGCCAGGGAGCCTCAAGTCATACACAGCCCCCACCCTGGGTCAGCCCATGAATGGAGGGACCAGGCACTCCCTGTGGGGGAGCCAGCATGCACAGTGGCCAGGAAGGGGTGGTGAATGGGTGGTGATTGGGCAGGCAGGAAGTGATGTCCCACTCAGGGATGGGCAGGGGGCCAGGAATGTTCCCAGTCAGGAGAACAGCACACACTAAAGCAGGGAGGGTGGTGGTCAGGTGAGTGGATTGTCAGAGGAGGGTGCTAGTCCTGAGCAATCAGGTGGGAGAAAGCAGAGAAGTTAGAGCTAGAGGACTGGAATACCAGTGTAGAAGTTGGAATTTCAGTACATGAGAGGATACTAGGGAGCCAAGGCAGGCTGTTGAGGGAGTGAGTACAGAGCTGTGCTGGCATAGGGTACAGTCAGGAAACTGGTAGGAAAGGAAGTAACACCCTGGGCATAAACCCCAGACACAATCAGACACCCCTGTCAGTAACAGCCATCTGCTGTGTGCATGTGTGTATGTGTTCATGTGCACATGTGTGTTTATGTGTGTGTGTAGCCCAACCTCTTTGAGCTGTCCAGCCTGACAGGGCTGACTCAGACCCCCTGGGCTTCAGCTTCTGGGACACCCCCTTGCCTTTCTCCCCTGCCCCCACTTGCAGGTCCTCTGTGAGGTAAGGAGTCCCAGACTCACCACCCATTTAAAGTGACACAGAACAGAGAGGAGCCTAAATCCACCCTTTACAACTAGGGAAACTGAGTTGGGCGAGGTCAGTGGACAGTCAAGGTTGCCCAGCTAGCTAGAACCAGTCCCAGGTCTGGCTGAGAGTGGGCACTGATAAGGGGCCACTTTTGCCTCTACTTGCACCCACGCACTGAGGTACACATGCTGCCCCTCCATACACTCCCCACCTCATGCACATGGCACCTTGGGTGCCTGGTCCCTCCCTACTTGCTTGACCCCCAGGTCCTCTCTACCTCTTAGAGACTTGGCTGTTGTTTCTGTCAAAAACACCTGCTGTATTTGTTGTAAGTGCTGTCGATTTGGTTTCGACTCAGAGTGACCCTGTACTTGGAACATCAGTTTCCAAGAGCAGCTGATGGATTTGAACTGTAAACCTTGCAGTTAATGTGGCTAGCAGTCTTATTATTGTACAGCACCACACCAGGGCAGTGTAGAAAGGGTTAAACAAAATCAAACACTTGCTGTCCCTCTGTCCAAGGTTAAGACAGTGATATGTCTCCGTTCTCTCCCTTTCTCTCCCTCCTTCCTTTGTTCTTTCCTTCTTTTTCTCTATACGTTCTTTTTTATTATGATAAAATACATATAACAAAGTTTGTCATTTCATCCATATCTAAGTGCACAATTTAGTGACATTGACTGCACTCACAATACTGTGTAATCATCAGCACTATTTCCCAACTTTTTCATCCCCCCGCCCCTCCCACACACACACACCACCACCACCACCAAGCAGAAACTCAGAACTTCTTGAGAAATAGAAGAAGACCACATTCCTTCCTCCCCAGTTTCTGGTTAACCGTTGATCTTTCTGTGTTCTGGGTATTTCATGTAAGTAGGGTCAGACCGTATTTGTCCTTTTGTGGCTTCTTTCACTCAGCATAAGGGGCTCTGGTGGTACAGTGGTTAAGCTCTTAGCTGTTACCCATAAGGTCAGTGGTTCGAACCCACCAGCCAATCTGTAGGAGAAAGATGAGGCAGTGTGCTTCTGTAAAGATGACATCCTTGGGAATCCCATATAGGGCAGTGTGTGCTGTACAATCAGCACTGGACTGAGAACCACAAGGTCAGCAGTTCAAACCCACCAGCTACTCCTCGGAAACCCTATACAGTGTCGCTCTGAGTCTGAACCAAGTCAACAGCACTTCAACAACAATTTGCCTTCTAGGGTCACTGTGAGTTGGAATCAACTCGATGACAGTGGAATTTTTTTTTCTAGCATGCATTTTGGAACCCTACTTGACTTGTCATGATGATTTTAAATGTTGCATTGTATCAGAGCATCCCCTTGTGTTATCTTTTTTTGAACACCCTTTTTCCTGGTTGTGTAATACTCCTTTTCATGGCTGCACCACTCAGAATCAGCCTGACCCAGGTGTTGTGCATGGGGCACCTCAGAACTTTTCACTGTGTGCCGCTGTGAGGCAGTTTGCTCCCATAAATATTGACAGCTTCAGAAACTACAAGGAGCAGTTCTACTCTGCCGGTAGGGCCGCTGTGAGTTGGAATCGAATCTATGACAGTGGGTTTGGATTTTTGGTTTTGAATAAGGTAAAAGAAAGGAACCCTGGTGGGTCAGTGGTCAGGCATTCTTCTGATAACTAAAAGGTTGGTGGGTTAATCCACCCAGCGGCTCCATAGGAGAAGGACCTGGTGATCTGCTCCCATAACAATAACAGCCTAGAAAACCTTATGGGGCAATTTTACTATCACCTGGGGTCGCTGTGAATCAGAATTGACTCGATGGCACCTAACAACAACAACATAGGGGAAAAGCTCAAGGTCCCTGGTGACTGTCTCAGGGACAGTGTTCTCTGTGGCTTGTTGTCTTCCTTCCTCACCGTCTGGCCTGCCGCTCCCACACAAGGCAAGGTGTCAGCATATGCATGCTTCCCCAGCACAGAAGGAAGGAGTTGGAGTGGAAGGCATAGACACCTACACTAAACCCCACCCCCTGCACCCCTTCCCAGATCTACCTGCACCTGCGTTCCTACACAGTCCCCAACGAGCAGCGTTACATCATCCGCCTGCTCTTCATTGTCCCCATCTATGCTTTCGACTCCTGGGTCAGCCTGCTCCTGCTGGGGGACCACCAGTATTACATCTACTTCGACTCTGTGCGGGACTGCTATGAAGGTGAAGCTGGGCTGTCGTCTCCCAAGGCTTAGACTGAGGTCCAGAGGGTCTGAAGCGGGGGACGCTGAGCAGGAGCTGGCCGGAGTCTCACATGGTCACTAATGGGGCATTGTTCAAGTGCTGAACTGCTAACTGAAAAGTGGGCACTTTGTACCCACCAGCAGCTCCATGGGAGACAAATGCTTTGGGAAAGATTTACAGCCTTGGAAACCCTATGAGTCACTGAGTCAGCTCTGACTCAATGGCAGTGGGTCTGGTTTGAGCCTCTGATCCTCCAGGCTTGAGCCTGTACTAGTGAGATGCATTTGGATGGGCTGGCTTGGTGGCAGGACTGGCAGTGTCTCCAGTGGTGTTCAATGGGGGTAAGGTGGCAGGCAGGCTGCCAGAAGCAGGACAGAGCCACCCTCAGAGGCAGTGACAGGATGCTGGTTTCAGAACCAGTGGGCATCTGCTGCCCATGGTGGCTCGTGGTCAGAGAGCTGAATCGGAGGGCACTCTAGGGTGGCCTGACAGGGCACATCCCCTCCCAGACCTCAGTGCCCTACTCCATGAAATGGACTTTTTCATGAGGGTGACCAGAGGAGGGGGTGGCTGGGGCCTCCATGCCTGACAGATACCTGTAGGTGGCTGTGGCTCTCTAGCTCTGAACTCCACACCTGTCCCCCACCCCCAGCCTTCGTCATCTACAGCTTCCTGAGCCTCTGTTTCCAGTACCTGGGCGGGGAGAGTGGCATCATGGCTGAGATTCGGGGGAAGCCCATCCAGTGAGTGCTTCCCACAGGGACAAGGACAGGGATGGGAATTGCTGAGCCCCAGCAGGGCCACCACACCAAGGATAGGGATGGGGGACTGGGGCCTGGCATCTGCAGAGCCCTGCCAGGGCCCTCTACATGGAGCCAGGCCCCTCTCAGGCGGTCCCTAAACCCAGGTCCAGCTGCTTCTATGGCACCTGCTGTCTGCGGGGTATGTCCTACTCCATCGGCTTCTTGCGTTTCTGCAAACAGGTGAGTGGGGTGGGAGGGGTCCCAGGCAAGCAAACCCTGCTGTGATGGCTCTCTGCCCACTATCCCAACCCTTTCTGGACCCATCCCCATGGCTACCCTCACCCCCTACCCCCAGACCACTTCCTACCCCCTTACTGGACCTGATCCCATGTCTGCCCTCACCCCTACCCCTGCCCCTGCCCTCAGGCCACATCCTACCCCCTTCCTGGACCCTCACCCCTGCATCCCACCTGTAGGCTACCCTGCAGTTCTGCATCGTGAAGCCCGCCATGTCTGCCCTCACCATTGTCCTGCAGGCGTACGGCAAATACCACGATGGGGACTTCAAGTAAGGTCTTGTAGGGGCCGCCAGGCACTTACAGCCCGGCTCAGATGACAGGGTGGGGGACAGATGAATGCCTCACTGTGTGAGGTGGGGAGGGCAGCAGATGCAGCCACTGACCTGGTACCCCCCCCCCACCGCGCGCCCCAGCATCCACAGTGGCTACCTGTACATCTCGTTGATCTACAACCTGTCCGTCAGCCTGGCCCTGTACGCCCTCTTCCTCTTCTACTTTGCTACCCGAGAGCTGCTGCGTCCCTTCGAGCCCATCCTCAAGTTCCTAACCATCAAGTCCATCATCTTCCTTTCCTTCTGGCAGGGTGGGTGAGTGGGCAGGGCCTGAGGACCCTCGCTCTGGGACTCAGTTTCCCCACTGGCACTGGACAGGTGGGAGTGCCCCTAAAGGCCTGTCCATTCTGCAGACCAGGAAGAGTGCTGGGCAGTTCGGGGGTGGGGGTGAAGGTGGGTCTTGGGGAAACTTCAGGCATCTGCTAGAGGGTACCCATTCTTCAGGCTTAGAGGGTACCCATTCTTCTGGCCCTGAACTCCCCTCTATGAGCCTAGGAGCCCTATGTCCCAGGGTTCTGTAGCCTCTGCAAGGTGGTGGTACCGCCCTGGGACAGCTCAGTGGGTCAGCCCCAGCCCCTCCCTAGGGCTGCTGCTGGCTATCCTGGAGAAGTGTGAGGTCATCCCCAAGGTGCAGGTCATTGATGGGAGCCTGGTAAGTGCAGGCACGCTGGCCGCCGGTTACCAGAACTTCATCATCTGTATTGAAATGCTCTTCGCCTCCATCGCCCTGCGCTATGCCTTCACCTGCCAGGTGTATGCGGAGAAGAAGGAGAACTCACCAGGTATGTGAGCAGCCATTCAGGGAGGGGGGAGAGAAGGGTAGCCTGTGAAGGGGGGTATCCACTCTCCATCCCCAGCACCATACCACGCTGGGCTCCACCAGCACACCCAATGCCTTGGAAAGCCACAGGTTGGTTTCTGGAGCCCAGGGGATATAAACTAGATGGGCAGGTGACCATCCCAGGGGCATCCTGCCTAGCAGTCTGTTGGCTTTCCAACATTGGGAAGTAGGCATGAGACAGGAGCCCCCAGCTAAAGGATTCAGGGTAGTCAAAAGCTGGGGTAGGTAGTGAAGAGAGGTCAGAGATCCAGGTACCGCTAGACAGACAACTACCACCATACTTGACACAGGACCAGACAGACTGGGAGACTGGGGCTGGCAGCCAGGTGTCCAGAGCAAAAGGGAGAGCCAGCTGAGGGGCCAGGTGGCCCCGTGTTCAGGATACTCTGAGTCCTAGTGCTGGTCTTGGCAGACAGGGCTAGGTCCATATGAGGGCAGTGGCTGCCCACCCTCACTGCCCTGCCTGCTTCAGCTCCCCCAGCCCCCATGCTGAGCATCTCCAGCGGCCTCAAGGAGACCATGAGCCCCCAGGACATTGTGCAGGATGCCATCCACAACTTCTCACCTGCTTACCAACAGTACACGCAGCAGGCCACGCATGAGACCCCGGGACCTGACCCCCACACCAGCCCGGCTGGTGGGGGCAACAGGAATCACAGTGTGGAGAAGAAGATGCTGATCACCGCCAATGAGCTCTAGGGAACCCCTGGTTCCCTTCTTGCCAAAGACCCACTCCCAAGCCACCTCCAGCCAGGAGCCCCCAGGGGCCAGGGGCCCTCTCCAGAGAGGCATCCGAGCAAATCCATTAGCCAGGGGACCACTGTGGGGTTGAGAGCTGGCCTGACCCTTTGTCTTTCACACAGTACCCCCTGTACACCCCAGGCTGCAGAGGAGCTGGGCACCAGTTGCTATTCCAGCATGACTGGAGCTGACAGACAGATGTCAGGACAGGCAGATGCAAAGAATAGGGGGCCCAGAGGTACAGGTCACTTTGGGGAGGGTGGGGGCTGAATGCTGGCCCTGCTGTCGTCTTTGTAGCCAGAGCAGTGTCTGGGGGACTGAGCTTATTTATGGTTGAACATTCTGGAATTTTCGTGTGGCCTCTAGTGTGCAGGGTCCAGATTTCTGTGGGGTCAGGAGAGGCCTCATGCTCTGGATCTAGGGGGTCCTACACTATCCAGTGGCTTTGGGGGGTTGGGTGACAGCCTTCCAGTTGTGCTGCTCCTTCAAGTGAGCACAGACTTTAAGATCCAGCCTTGGGCAGCTATCCCAACCGCCCAGCCTCAGTTTCCCCCCGGTAGCACCATGCATGCCAGGCCCTGAGACATTTCAGATGAAAGGCTGCCTTCTCACCATCTCTACCTTCCTCTCCTCTCTCACTGCCCCCATATGCGGCCAGATGCCTGGGGATTTAAGGAGGGGACACATTGTGAGTTCTGGGGATGGGGGCCATTGCATGACAGATAGGGACAAAGGTGCAAAAATGTAGTGGGCGGCTGGGGTCTGGAGACAGGTTGGAGAGTGTTGGCTCTGTAAGGAGCCCAGGAACAAGGTTCCAGTCCTGCAGCCCTGGGGAAGATGAATAGGACAGGCCAGGGTCGTAGGACTGACTGCCAAAGTCAGGGCCAAGAGCTATCAATCTCCTGTCATCTGACTCCCGGGGATGCAAAGCAGTGGCCTCTGGTAGGGTGGGGGTCTGATAAACAGGCCACACCACCTCCCCCTTCAGCCTGGCTTCACCTTATCGCATCCTCTGCAGCTGGCAGACCCAAGTTCCTCTCCAGCTGGGCTGCCCAGATCCCAGGGAGCTGTGTGGGGCAGGGTGGGAGCCAAGGTGGGGTACAGGGTCTGCCTATACCCTTGTCTCCCTCCCACCCTGAAAAGAGCACACCCCACCTGCATGCAAAGAACCTTGCTGGAGATGGAGAGCCCACCTGGAGCTGACAGGCAGTCTGAGGGCCAGGCTCTGGGTGGGAGTAGGAGTTGCTCATGTGAGCCACCAAGCAAGCTGGTGCCAAGGACCATTCAACTTAACTCGATAGCCCTGGGGGAGGGTCTGGCCAGAGGTCACAGACCAGGCAAGGAGAGGAGGGCACACTGGCCTTGAGTGAGGTCCCCTCATAGGACGATGCCCCTTCCTCCTGATTTCTGCCCAACATGACAGAGATGCCACAGGGTGGGTGACAGTTGAGGATGGGGTCCCACCTGTCCTGACTGTCCTGGCAGGGTCCTGATCCTAACAAGTGGTCTGCCTGTGTTCCCACCTGCAAAATGCTACCAGCGGACAGTCGTTTCCCACAGTGCACAGGGAGCTCGTGCCTGGGCTTTTCACTTGGAGAAGCAGAGACTCACCATCTAGAGGTTTTCAGGGAGCAGGCTGCCTCCACCTATGACTGTCCAGACCTGGTCTCACAGCCTGGGGGGACCCCCTCATAAGTGCACCCACTTCCCCATCAAGGGCTGGGATTGCGAAGAAATACCAGCCACACAGCGAGAGGCTCTGAATCCAGAACTCTTTATTGTTAAGGTACAAAAGCAGTTGCAGGGACAGATGCACAGCAATAAATTAGGTGGTGGCCGTGAGTCTGGGGGCCCGGCCAACCAGTCCCCCATCACGGAGTCTGCTCACAATAACTTAGAAAAGGTGGCACAGAAATAAATATTGAAATGAGATTATGGAGCAGCCATGGTGGTCGAGGGAGGGGAGCTGTGGGGGGCGGGGCTGTTATCTTTGAGGAAGCAGGATCCGCTTTGAGAAAGGACCCGGAACTTGGAAGCACAGGGGACAAAGGGGGAACAAACCCACATTACACAGAGGCCCGTTGCCTTTGCTCTTAAAAACAAAAATCCATGTTAAAATTGTATCAATGAAATCCCAACGATTAGAAGGGGCCTATGTCCTAGAGCCTGGTCCCCATCACTACGGCTGCAGCCTGGGGCCCATGCCTCACGGTGGCTCCCTCCACCCTGTGCTCCAAATCCAGCACCAACCAACCCCAAGAACCAACACTCATCCCTGCCTCCCCAGGCACCCAGGTGAAAAGAGCTTGCATCCACTATAGGGAGATCCTGTCCCATAGGGTGGCCGGCTGACCAGATTCTGGGGGGGGAGGGGACAGTGTGGCCCCTGCTGGAAATGGCAGGTGTGAGGTCAGGGAGAAGCAGGACACCCTCCCCCAACACTCCTGCTAAAAGAGTCAGCTCTACTCCAATAAAGATTTACAGTATCAAACGTGAAAAAAAAATTGTTATGAAAAATCTGTACGATAAAATGTGTATATAATTATATATATATATATATCTTTCTCTCTTTTTAAATTTCCCATGGTCCTTACTGATATCCAATATGGATTACCTACCATGGCTATAGTATGGACAGCTGTGTTTGGGGGGGAAGGTTTAAACCCAGGTCTTTTGCTCTTCAGGCCCCGGTGACCACAGCTCAGCCATGCCCTCAGACCCTCTTATGGCGCTAGACACCCAGCCTGGTCACAGGGGCAGCTTTTGGGGTCTTTGTTGTTGGTGACAGGGGAAAGGCCTAGACCTCTAATCATCCTGTGGTGGCTTACAGTCTGCATGGGACTCGACCTGACCACCACCCACAGGTCTTTTCTGCCCACCTTGAAGGGTAGCACCAGTCGGGAATATAGGGGGCACCCTCTGGAATGCCCCCCGGCCCCGGAAAAGGAAGCCCAGCTCATTGTTGAGGCTCGGAAACTCCAGGAAGAAAGCGTGAGGTTGTGGCTTCAGCAATGATTAAGCACCAAGTTGCATAGTCCTCCATCTGGTTGGGTTCACACCCACTAGGGCCTCCCAGCAAAGTTCCCAGTTACCTCCTCTCTCCGTCCTCCACTTCCTCAAATCCTCCACTCTCAAGGTTATCTGGCAGCAGTAACCACTGTCCTGCACCATCTCTGCACTCCCCACAACAGGCACACATGTACACACACACACATACGTACACACCTGCATGTACACACAGGCACCAACCCCACACAGACTCCACTTCTCCTCTAAGCTATTTTCCCCGAGACTGCAGCAGCCTGACCACCCCCTGAAAGCTGGGTCCTCATCCTCACTGAGGTGCTGGGGCCCCCCAAATCTGTTTGGAACCCACCACTGAGAACACTCCCCTTCAAAAGCCCTCTGGCCATTCTGCAGGATCTACTCCCTGGTGTCGGCCCCTGGAGCAGCTAGCTCACTGGCCACTGCAACTCCCTCAGCACATGAATGAACTCACAAACCTCTGCCCCAGCCAGGACACACTGCACTCCATACCTACCTCCCCCGGCCCAGGACAGGCTGTGCTGCACATGAGCAGGTCAGGGAGGGGTTTCTGCCCATGGACTGAGGGAGACAGATGCACTGGGCTTTGTCGCAGGTGCAAGAAGGGGAAGACTGAGGCCTGTGCTCCAGCCATGTAGCATGAACACACATGGATCCCATGTACAAGTCCCGATAGGGTGCAGAGGGGTCAAGGGCGTGTGTGAGTGTGTGCACGTGTGGTTGTGTGTGTGAACGCGCATATGCGCGGAGAACAGTGCTGCACACGCGGCCACAGGACCTATAGCTTCATCCCGAACCTACGTTCACTTTCCTGATGATTTGTCTGTGGCCGCAGGCGCCCAAGGAAGGGCACATGAGAGGCCCGCCCCACCCGCCAGACTGCTGGACTCTAGGATGCAGCTGAGAAGGGCACAGACGGGGAGGCAAGCTCCGCCGACTTGACTATGGTGATGACACTGGTGGTGGCCACCTTTGAGGGTGCCATGGGGCCACGCGCCACAGTGCGTGCGAAGGTCTGCAGGGCATCGTACTTGGCGCGCAGTGCGTCGAGCTCCAGCCGCATGCTGCTGTTCTCCCGCGCCAGCTTCTCCACCTCCTGCTGCAGCTCCACGCGCTGCCGTTCCAGCTCCTCCTTTTGCGTCACCCGCTTGATACGGCAGCTGGCCGCGTAGCCACGGTTCTTGAGAGTGCGCCGGCGCTGCTTCAGCCTTGTCACCTCCTCCTTGGTGAGGCCGCGCAGGTGCTGGTTCAGCTCGCGCACCGACATGCTCACCAGTTCATCATCGCTGAGCGCTGGCGAGTTCTCACCTGCCTCCTTCTTGACCTGCCAGGGCACAGGGAGTCGGTGGGTCAAATGGGGTCTGCGTGTGGGGTGGACAGGGCAGGTAAGTCACCTGAGGGGTTGGTATATGGGGTGGGTGGGCATATGGGTCTCCTGGGGTCCGCATGTGGGGTACTTGGGGCCTGTGGGTCAGGTGGGATCTGCATGGGGACCAGGGCCAAGGCAGTCTAAGTGGGCGTGTCTCCTGGGGACATGTGGGGTGGGCAGGACAAGTGGGTAGGTCAATCACCTGGGAGTCTGTTTACAGTGCAGACTGGCCTGTAGGCACTGAATATCATAGTGGTTGAGGGTCCCGCTCCCAGAGCAGAGGGTCCATCAGGCCCAGAGCTGACCTCACTGGACTGAGAACCTGCTCTCTTCCCCTCAGTGAAATGTAGAGGCCTCACAGAACCATGTATGGTGACGCCCCAAAAAGCTGTACCCTGAGACAGCCTATAGTCCCCATGGCCATCCTCAGACCAGGGAGTGGACAAGCTGTCATGGGGGACAAGGACAAGACCCCCCCCCCCCAATATGGCAACTCCTGGCAGCCAGGCACACACCATCCTAAGACCCTCCAGGGCCCACCAGGCACCAACACAGGTCAGGGATCCTGGTACTTCCTGTTCCTTACCCCCACCCCTGCCAGCTCAGGACACAGAGGGCCCCTCCACTGGCCCCAACTCCACACATAGCCTCCAGGGGCCCCCGAGACTCAAGACCCAATCGCTGCACACAGAGACCAAGAGGCCAGAACATGGCTGAGGCACCCCACCACCACTTCCTATCAGATAGCTCTGGGGGGCTTTTGGGGTCTGCACATACCCAGAGCAGGAGGGGCACCTGCCTTAGAAGTCAGGCTGAGTTCCCACCGCACCCTCTGCCCAAGAGTCACCTCCTGGTTGTCACCTACCTCTCCGGACTAGCCTGGCTGTGGGCTCATCCCCAGGGAGAATGGAGCACCCTGAGGTGACCATGCTGGAGATTCTGGGCAGGGACCCTACCCAGGAGAGGGAGGGCCTGGGGCTGGCCTTACCTATGACCTGAGTGGTCAGGGTCCTGCCCCCCTTACCTTTAACGCCTTGTTGGGTTTGGGATTCGTCGTCATAACCCGGCAGAGTCACTAGGACAGAACTGGTTGGAAATGGTCCCTAGAGAAACACCAGGGACCATGTCAATACCACCACTGAACTGGGAGGGGCCGGCGAATGGCTGACAGTCCATGGCCCCCTGGCTGTGCCCTACCCCTCCCTGCCAGACCAGAAGAGGTACTGGAGCTAGGACACCCACCACAACTATTGCCGACTGCTGCTTCTGGTCCTGGCTCGTTCGAGCCCTGCTGGCTCCATGGGAAGCCAGGGCACCCACTGTGGAGGCAGAGCAGCCACTGTACACCTCCCCCACTTGCTGACCATGCCTTCTTCCCAGAGCACTGTCCCCTCCCCCTGGGACAGTTCCCCACCCAGCCCTCAGATACAGACCAGTGCCCTGCGGACGCTGGTCCCTGTCACAGCTCTTGGACGCCACGGCCTCTGGCACAAGGCTGTGACATCACCTGCCCCCCCTGCTGCCCATACGCTATGACCCAAGGGAGCACAGGTCATTGGGCTGGGCTTGAGATGACTGCCAGGCTGTCCCACCAGCAGCAAAGCCCCTGAGGCTCTGTCTGGCATCCTCAACACCCTACCGGGACTGTGTTACACATTCTAATCATTCATGAAAATGCAGCCAGAGCCTCCCAGGCTCAGCTCCCTCCTGTGGTTGCCATGGTGACCCTGGGAATGGGCCAGCCCCTGTGGTCGCCATGGTAACAGGGAAGCCCAGCAGCCACAGGGATAGTGGGTCATGTCTGGCATGAGAGCTAGGGGGTCAACAGACAGTAAACTGACCCAAGAATGACCTGCAGCTGGGTGCATGCTGGAAAGTGCACTGCTGGCCTGGCTGAAGGGTCTCCAACGTCTCCAACACTGGGTGGACACGCAGAGAGGAGGGGTCCTGTGCCCAAGACAGAGTTGCTTGGCACCCATTCTCCCTGCTTCAACCTCCCCTCAGGACAGGGGCAGCAGCGAGTACACAGGGCTGAATCAAGTTTCCCCTCTCCCACCAAGGCCCGCCAGCCCCACCCTTCCAGGGGTTACAATCACAGGAGGGGATCCAGCACACAGACCCCAAGACGCCGGGATGGTAAGTCACCAGGGCACCCCTGCCTTCTGGGTCACCACCCTCTGGTTCACATAAGCCTTGTGTGGGTGAGACTCCAAGGGGTCAAAGCAGGCAGGGCAGAGCCTCTGAGGGGAAGACCACCCCAGAAGGAGCAGCAGCACTGAGGTGACCCCATCATTACTTGAGAGGGCTGGCAGGTGCCTGACGGAGGCTGCCTGTCTGGGGCCAGAGATCAGGGGCAACAGGGAGCCCCTGGGAAAATATCTGGTGGAACTGCTCTAAGGATAGCGTCAGCGTCCCGGCATAGCTATGTGATGAGTCACTGCTGTTTACAGAGAGCACATTCCCACAAAGCCGTCCCTGCCCAGCCAGGGTCAAGCCCTGAGGCTGCGAGGATGATTCTGCACCCATAGGGTCCAGCTTGGCTTTCGGGGTGACCCAGGAGGACAACACTATCCTCTTCCAAGAAACAAGGGCATGGCCCATTGACAACACCTGCTGCCCCCAACATGCCCAGCTCCAGGCCTGCCTCAGAGGTCCCTCCTAGGAACTAGAGGCCTTCAAGTGGGCCCCTACAGAACACGGCTCTGTAGGGTTGGGGAGGGTTGTTTTGTTTTGTTTTCTTCAATGGCTGCTTTTATAGACGTCAATTACTAGGCCTTTCTTATAAGGATTTTGGTTGGCAGCAAAGGGCTTTCCTATCTTGAGTTAACCATGAATCTCAATTCTTGTCTGTGTGTCTTTTACATCTGTCTATGTTCACGCTGTCCACTGTCATAGAATCGACTCTGGCTCAGGGCGACCTCATTTGTCAGTGAAGAACTGTGCTTTACAAGGTTTTCAATGGCAGATTTTCCGGAAGTAGACAGTCAGGTCTGTCTTCTGATGCACCCAACGTGGACTCAAACCTCCAGCCTTTAGGTTTGTGAACGAAGCATGTGAAGCATGTGAGCATGAGCAGCCAACCATGTGAACTGTTTGCACCACCTGGGGCTTCTCTCATAAAATAGGCAAATCTGACACCCACATCTATGACAAGCAGCAGCTCGGCCAGCAGTAGCTCAGTGGAAATCTGGAAGAAGCCTGAGACTGCTTGGCCAGGCCCTGCCCACTGAGAGGCTCGTACCTGAGGCACAGCTTGGCCCTGCCACCTTGGTGCTTCCTTCCTGGCCCTCAGCAGAGTAGCAGACAGGTCACCTTTATCACCTGAATCTAGAACACACACAACCAACATGTGTAGTACTGACCAGCCTTGAAGAAGTATAACCAGAATGCTCCTTAGAAGCTTCGAACATGTCGTCAGGAGGGACCAGTCCCTGGTGAACATCGTGCTTGGTGAAGTGGATGGCAGTGAAAAAGAGGAAGACCCTCCCGCCCCCCAACTAGATGGACTGGCACAGTGGCCGTAGCAATGAGCTCAAACATAACATCGTGAGGATGGTGCAGGACCGGGCAGTGTTTCAGTCTGTTGTACACAGGGTCACTATGAATTGGAACAGACTTGACAGCACCTCACAACAGTATTGGAGTCCTGGTGTGGCGCTGTGGACTAATGCGCCAGACTGCAAAGCTGTTTGAACTGCAAGGTCGGTGGTTCATGCTCACCAGCTGCTCCTCGGAAACCCTATACAGGGTTGCTATGGGTTGGAACCGCTTCGATGGCACTTAACAACAACAACAACAGTATTGGCCTAGAGTCCATGGGTAGAATGAATAGTTAAGTTGGAGATTAGCGTGCACCTAGAGGCAACTCAGAAGAAAGGCCTGGTAATCTACTTCCAAAAAGCAGCCACTGAAAACCCTGTGGATACAAGTCTACTCTGTCCACATAACTTGACAGCAACTGGTTGCTAGTCACTAACCTATAACCACTTTAAACATCCGTAGCAAGAGAAGGACAGTTGGGTTTCGAAAGGGGTTGGAAGAGTAGTTTTGTACTTGGAAGAAAGAGTTCAATGAAACCTTGCAGTGCGATGGTTAAGAGCTCTGTGGAAGAAAGACGTGGCTATCTGCTTCTGCAAAGATTCCAGTCTAAGAGACACTATGGGGGCAGTTCGACTGTGTCTTATGTGGTCATTATGGGTTTAAATCTCTATGGGAGCAGATCCCCAGAACCTTCTCAAGCGATCTGATACGTGGGTTCAAACTGCCAGACTTTCCAGTCAGTGGGAGTGGCTGTGTGCCACAGAGTGGGTTCCAACTCATAGCATCCCTGCATAGGGTTTCCAAAGCTGTAAATCTTTATGGAAATAGAAAAAGCCTCATCTTTTTCTCATGGAGTGACTGGTAGAATTGAACTGCTGACCTTGCAGTTGGCAGCCCAGCTCATCACCCACAATGCTACCAGAGTAGTAACAGAATGTTTAACCATCTTCACCCCACAGGGATACTGCATACCTCTTCTAAACCCCACATCGTATCTAGTGCCATCCAGTTGGTCCCAGCTCACAGTAACCCTGTGGGATGAGTAGAACTACTCCTGACAGTTTCCAAGGCTGCCAGTCTTTATGGCAGCAGACATTCCCATCTTGTTCCTGTGCATACCTGTTAGGTGAATGCATTTCTATTAGCCAACGAGGTTGGGTGTTTAACCAAAAGACAGGAACACACGCTGGCTTGTTTGATGTACAGCAAACATGGTTCAACAGGAAAAGCCATTTCCTCTTCAGAGAAAGGAAGCGCGTGTACACACACACACACAAGTGCACATGCTGGGAATGCAGTCAGACTCTGGCGGCTAGAGTTTCAAACACATCTGGGGCAGGGGCCACCAGGCGTCCCTGCCGAGAACAAAGATTGCCAGACCTGCATCCCCTCTGCTCACTCAGGAGAGGCACACTGCTTGAGGGACGTGCTCCAGGGTCTCCTAGGCACCCCAGGGTTGGAGTAGGTGGCTCCCATTAAACAGTTGTGAGACTGACCTTACTGATCCCACGAGCCACTCTGTGGGAGAAAGATGGAAGCCGTTCTACTATGTCCTACAAGGTCACTGTGAGTCAGAATCAAGTGGATGGTGGTGGTTTGGGTGGTGGTGTTAACTCCAGTGGCGTCCTGGGACAGTGGAAGTGGTCAACGTGCTTGGCTGCTCACTGGAAAGCTGGGTGTTTGGAGTCTACCCAGAGGTGCTTTCAAAGAAAAATCTAGAGATCCATTTCTAAAGAGGCAGCCATGGAAAACTCTGTGGAGCACAGTGGTCTGACTCCATACTGTAACTAACAATTAGATTTCCGGAGCTCCAGGGAAGGGGACAAATAGTCACAAGCTCAGCTGCTGACCAAAAGGTTGGGGGTTCAAGTCCACCCAGAGAAGTAAGCCCTTGAAAATCTTCGGGAGAGCCTCTCTGGTGTGACACACATGGCAAGGCGCTGGAATCGACTCTGCAGCAGCTGTTATTTTTCCATTTCAGTAGCTATTCACTGACCACCTCCTGTCTGGGGACCCTCCCGCACCCTGCAGCACCCCATCTCTCAGGGCACCAGTAGTGCAGGGAGTGAGAGGATGCGGGCTCAGGGCCAAAGGGTAACGATTTGTCCATCAACCAACTGGCTGGGTGAATAAGCGGGCTCATGTGATTCTGGAGAATTCTTGTTCTTGCCCAAATGAAACCACTACACTGGATTCGAGTCACTCTGGGGCTGGCCCAACCCCATTCTGTTCTCACTGACTCGGGCTCGTCACGTGGAGAATGCAATCAAATACAGGCAGACCTTGGACATGCAGCGGATTTGCTTCCAGACCCCCATGACACAGCAAGTCACACACGTTTTAGTACACCCCAAACCTAACAGTGGAGTCCTGGTGTGGCTCTGTGGGTTAATGCACTGGACTGCAAGGTCACTTTGAACCACAAGGTTGGTGGTTCAAGTTCACCAGTCGCTTCTCAGAAACCCTACATAGTGTCACTATGAGTTGGAACCATCGTGACTGAACTTAACAACAACAAACCTAAAAAACCGACTGCCACCAAGTCAAT